AAAGCATGGCAGCAGTTTTATACTGCCATTTCCTCGCGATGGTACACCTCCGAAATTCAAGTTCACAGTTGCCGAACTCAGTTCCTTTTCCGATATAGTAAGTTCGATTTTGTCAGATTTTATGTTCAGTTTTTCTTCTTTTAGTAATTTAAAATCATTTTAGGCCTTGATTTCTTTTTCATTTGATTCTTTTGATATGCGATATAGTCCGTTTAGAGTTGCCTATATGATTAACTTTAAGGTCGAGCGTTTACTGAGGAAGCCGATTTTGGATATCATGGATGTTTATGCAGCCGACGTTTACATGGTTAGCGCACTGTCCGTACATGATTCTTTTTGGCTCTACTATGTGACTTTTTGGGACTATTATTTTCATACTCATTAAATTATCATTTTCATTATTATTATTATTTTTGCTAATATTGTTATAAATCGTTAATTTTAAGAACGATCGTTTGCTGAGAGAGTCGAATTATTCCTTTCTTTGTTATTATTATTTTCCGACCCTCTTCTTCTATTAGTGTATTTATCATTTTGTCGGGTATTAGCCAGGTTAATAAGAAAAATATTTATTTACACAAATCTCAGACTCAATTGAAATCACGAACGTAACGCAGTGCAAAAACTCGGGTTCATTGGCGGTGGGCGAGAGGTTCCTGCTGTGGTCTGTCTTTCGCGGCCCACAATATCGCGGACTTGACGAATCCTGCGCCGATGAAGCCTCTGACGGCGCTTCCTGCTAGCAATACGTCTCGGGCTCTACTTCCCTGCGAACTGGATGCAACACTGTGTTCAGCCATCGCTCAGGCTTTATAGATAAATTTCCTGACGGGTATCCACTTGCTGCTCAGCTCCTCACTGTCGATCACAGCACGCATAGCGTTTAATAATATCTGTAGTTCTGAAAAATTTAATAGTTTACTTGCATTCAGTAATGACTATATCATATCCTTATATTTGTTATTGTTATCATTACTTCTATTATTATTATTATTATTATTATTATTATTATTATTGTTATTATTATTATCATTATCATTATTATTGTTGTTATTATCATTATTATTATTATTATTATTATTATTATCATTATTATTGATATTATTACTGCTGTTATTGATATCATCGTTATTATTATCAGTGGTCTTCTCGCCTTATTGTTAACATCATTATTATTACTATTAGTTATCATTGTCATTACCACTATTACTTTTATGCTTACCAATTATTGCTACTATCACTGTTACTGTTATTAATACTGCTAAGGAATTATGCTCTACGTTAGTAGGGCACATCATTTCTTCTTTCACTTTTAAATCTTAGCGTCTGAATTTTCCATTCAGGCTGGACAAGTCAGGCGTTTTCCATATAAGACAATCTCGGAATGTCTTTCATTGGTTTGCGTGACAGCTGCAAGAGATGCATGCGCACCGTACGATATGCTGAAGGCGGAGAAAACCTTACCTCAGAAATTTGCTAGAGAGGTATGATTTAATTTACAACAACTCATATAAAGTACTGCTTCTCTTTTTCTTAAATAACACTGGCAAGATGGGAAGAGTAGGGTCAGAAAACATGTGACGGAGTAACTGCGAAAATTATAGTTATCTTATACAAGACTCTACAAAAATTTTCTGAGAAGAGGTGGAAAATTTAAATTTCATGGAATGCAGAATTTGGTAAATCAAGCAGTAAAAACTTCTAAAACAAATAGAAACTGTTTTGAAAAAGTAAGGCTAAAATTATTGGCGATGCCACCAGTAGAGCCCATGCAGTCATGCGCTTTTGCAGTATTTCATGCTATAGTAAGATCGCTTGGAATCGCTGTAGCTAGAGTTTGTGGCATACTGGTCATCGAAATTCAAGGCATTAACTGTGCAACCATACGGTTCTTGGATAGGAAGCACCCTGTTAAAATTCCAGCTTTTCGGCTTTTCTGGTTCCCAGTTTAGCAGTTTTCCACCAAAAATTTTCAAGGGCCCTGTGTGAGAGCCACACAAAACGGGGGGAAGGGTTGAATTTGGAATCTTTAAATTCAATTTGGATCGAAAACGCCTCCTCAAAATTTCAATTTTCCAGCTTTTCTTAACAATTTTCCTGCCAAAAATTTTCTTGGCCTTTATGTGAAAACCATACACAGCTGAAGGTTGAATTTGAAATTTTTAAATTCCACGTGGACAAGAAACATCCTTTTAAACTTCTCTCTCCCAGCTTTTCCGATTCCCGAGTTGACGATTTTCCCGCCAAAACTTTCACGTGATCGTACGCGGGGCCTGCACGTGCGTGAGGGCTGCTACCGAGGCCCTGAATGGTACTTGGCCAGGGGATGCACTGGCAAAATTTTAGTGCTGGGGCTTGTTTGGTTGTTGAGTTGAAATACCTGGATAAACGAATAAACGCAAACATGCACATACGCGCACCATGGGTCATCGCAATACGCGTTTTTGCAATTACACATTTGCAAAGACGCATAAAAATTGGACGATAGATAGTTAAAAAGTAGTCTAAATTCTCGAGGATTAGATATTTTTCCAAATCGCGAGGATATTAATTCACGAAAGCCAATCGCGAGCGCACAGCCGTCGTCGGAAACTCTCTGCATACTACTCGTCTTCGTAATTTTTTCGCATCTTTCTAAGCTAGTTTAAT